AGTGCACATCCCTGGATGGATTTAAAAGACGTGTAGGTGTGGTGCTTAGGGACATGGTTTAGCGGTGGGCTTGGCTGTGCTGGGTTAACAGTTGGACTTGATGATCTTAAAGGTCTTTTCCAAGCTAAACAATTCTATGATTCTAAGGAGGACGCAGCAGCTGTGCACAGGAGGGGGAGCACCCCAACATCCTCGGGGCAGAGCACTGCGGGGTTTTCCCAATTTGAGGCACATCAGGGTCTCCCCACTGCTGGCGATTCACACCGCTCAGCAGGTTTGAAGCAAGACACAGCCGGACCCCCTGAGCTTTAGCATCAGCAGTAACATCCCCTGAAGAATCCTTTGAAAAACCTGTTTGCCAGAAACTCCAGGCCTTTCACCACCACTAAGGGGTAATGTATAACCGGAGTGTCTTGCGATCTCCTCTCCCTCCAAAAGGCCTCGTTACCCTCCTTTTCTGCCAAAAACTCCTCGTCCAGCCCTCCCCGGGGGCCAGACGGATTCCTGTTCAACGCCAACAGGTCTGAGAATGAACTGGTGGAAGTGAGAAGCTTGAAGGAGAGCGCTAATGGGAGCATAGAACAAAGAAGGGCAACCCTGGTCTGGGACAGCATGCTCTGAGGACAGAGTCACACAGTTTTTTAAAAATTACCAAATTCTTTGTATCTTAATACAAATGCTTCCTTGAATACCTTACAGAAATGTAGAGTATAAAGAAATTGGTTTGAATTGTTCCAACTGTTGCACTCCATATTAACATCACGCGATATCTGAACGCTTCTTTACGAGACAGCATGATCAGAGCAGGAGTTAACACCAATAGCGCCGATAAGAACTGATCGTTTAAGCTTAAAGGGGATGTAACACGGCAGCTTGTGCAAAAGTAGAGGAAAAAGGCTCAAACTAACCTTCCAAAAGCATTAAATAAGGCAACAATTTCTTGTCGGGTCAGCTGGAATCCATAGGAGGGGCCGCTTTCAGGTATCTTTTCTATCAGGTTTTCCGAAAAGAGGATCTTCAGCGCTGTACCCAAGCCCTGCGTCTGTGCGTGACAAATAAGATCGTTTAATAGCGGGGCGACATCCAGGGTCTGACTCACAAGTTGAACTTTACTTCCCTCCTTCATCTTTCAAGGCCTCCTGTTGACATCGTCTCAACAGAGCAAGACCTGGATTTCACTTAACACAGCTCAGAGCAGGGAGCAGAACAGAGCCAGGGCACTTTATTTATTTAGGGTTGCTGTGACAGCAGAGCTACCCGGCAGAGGATTCCCATCGAGGTTTGACCTCGTGTAAAACTGAGTGCCGATCTCGCTGAGCCCCCAGTTTTACAGCACCCTCTGCCCTGGCTTGCCAGAGGCTCTGTGCTCCCTCCCCTCTCCCGGGGAGCAGCTGTAGCAGCGTAACTCAGTTTTCAGCCGCAGAGGCAAGAGGCCGCTGCTGCCAGGCCTAGAGAGCCGGAATCAGCACACTGCTTCCTCCTGACCGGACCAGGTAGTGACTCCAGCAGCCCCGCTCCATACCTAGGAGCTGACCGGTATCCAAGAACCACATCTGCACACCACAGTCCCACGAGATGTGGTGCTTCCAGATGTGTCCCCAGCTGCTGACAAAGCTTACCTGCAACTTCCCCCACAGACGACATTTGAAGCAGCCAACACAGTCCATTATCTTTGAAATATTCTTAAAGTGTAGCCTAAATTCCTCCTAGGGGAGAAGACAGTCAAGCTGATCGTGGTTACGCAGCAATTCAAACTTCTTCTATGTGTTAATCCAAATCCAATAATGGATCCTGGACTTCAGGCTAAATTCAGTGGGACCAAGTTAGGGAAATGCCTCCTGAAGCGGGGTCCCCAGCGCCAGTTCACCACCCTCCTTCAGGCACACCCTCCTGTCTGTAGTTACCCGCAAGTATCCAAACCATTCAGAAAGCAACAGGAATTGGAAATACCTGACCCAGCACCTTCAGCGTACTGAGGTCCCTTTCAGATCCAGTATTATCCCAGACACACACCTGAAAATACCCTTTAGGGAATGAGTGCCCCAAAGGGAAGGGCTGGCCCATTACCTTTAGTTTCGCAGCTTCTTTTTTATTCCCAGCGAATAATGAGTTTTCATTGAAATGCAGTGGGAAAGACCTGAAATAGAATGAAAAAAGAGTTTTCTCTCTCCACAGCTTGTTTGTACAGCTGAAGTCCAGATCCACAGAAGTATCTGGTTAGGTACGCGAGTTAAACTGATTCGTGTTCGACGTTGGACATCTCTAGATGTATTTTAAGCGCAAGCTGCTTGTTTCTTAGATCTCTTGTAGGCTTTCAATTTTAGCTTGCATCTCACCTTGGAGACATTTTCAGCAATGGCTCTGCGGTTTCTAAGCAATTGTAGTCTGTTTTCTACCAGTCGTAAGCACTGAAGGCACAGGAGTGCACAGGATAAATTCAAACCTCGATCACATTAGGAGACACCTATTTCCATCTGGTTCCGGCACCTTCTATTCCTCTTACTCCAAACTCTGTCCAAGAGCCCAAACCTCTGTTACCAACATGTTTAGGATTTCTTTCTACTTAAAAACACAAAGCCAGGACTGGTATTCCACAGATGAGTCAAACAGGTAGCCAATTTCAGAGCTGACACATAGACAGTTATTAAATTCAATTCTGCTAAAATCAAAAAGGCAGCCTAGACTATTAAACTGCGGGCCTAATTACCCTGTTTTGCAATTTGCATACAGACACCAACATACTCCCAGCAATACTACGCTACTGCACAAATCGTACTACCCCACTGCAAGTAAGAACCCAGAACCTGCCTTTCTAGGCGCTTTAAGCGAAAGGTTAAGCGCGTTCAGAGATGCCAGGGTTGAAAGAGCCATTCTCCCCAGGAACTGAATGTAATTACTTGGCCAGATGGAGAATTTCCAGCAATAGGTTTTTCATTTCCACATCGTGGCTTTTATTCCCCGTGTACAGCTGGAAACCTGGGCGCTCAAAGAACGGCAGCACTTTGGATAGGGCCCGCAGCTCTATCAGGTAGAGAAAATACAGGTTCTTGAGTCTTCTGGGACCTTCTCCTCTGGTGATGACTTCATCAAATCTCTGCTGGAACTCTGTAACATTGGGGCCCCATTTCTTCTCTGACCACGTATCTGAGAGAGAAAAAAAAAACAAACAACAAACAACCCAAAGATGTGAGGCAAATGGATACAGTTCTGGTTCAACTCCTCCCACCACCCCAAGCTAAAATGGTGAAACGTAACTCTAACCAGGGAGATCCAAGCCTTACAATAGTCACAGCCCTTTCACTAACCACAAATCGTTCAAGAGTCGAGAGAGGGATGCTTTTAACCAAACTCAAACCCCAACAAATGGCAGAACTGCAGACCTTTGTCAGTTGGTTTAACACACGACCCAGGCTTACAAGCAAAAGCTAAAAACAGAAGCCGCCCATTTTAAACAGAGTTAAATCACTTGAAGAGTTTCTCATCAGGTGAGCCGATTGTTTCTGAGAGCAGTTCCATGTAAGCTGGTGACAGCTCAACATCTGTCTGCCAGTCAAGAGGATGGGATGGGTGTGGAGGTCCCTTGGTTCCTTCACTCCTGCCCATAAAAGCCACTGATTTACTGCAGAATTTGGAAGAGTCTTTGGTCTGAGCGTCTGCGGAGGTGGACAGTGCAGGCCTCCTGATCTTGTTGCCCTAGGAAGCAGCGTGGGGACCAGAGGCTGGGAGGCTTCCTAATGTAGAGGGACATCTTAAGAGAATTTTCTCTGTTACAGAAATGCAAGAGAATGAAAGCAGCCAAGGATCAGAGGAGACTGACCTCTGTTTTCCCTTATCAAGCCCACAGGTTTCACAAAGAATGCTTCTGTTTGCTCATCTTATCGTGTACTTAAGATTATATAAAGTAAGTAGTGGAAGATATAATACAGTCATAACAAGCTGATGTATAAAAATGAGAGAATTTTCTCTGTTACAGAAATGCAAGAGAATGAAAGCAGCCAAGGATCAGAGGAGACTGACCTCTGTTTTCCCTTATCAAGCCCACAGGTTTCACAAAGAATGCTTCTGTTTGCTCATCTTATCGTGTACTTAAGATTATATAAAGTAAGTAGTGGAAGATATAATACAGTCGTAACAAGCTGATGTATAAAAATGAAGGCAAAAAAAAAAAAGAGAAGCTTTATCTTCTAAATCACCAAAGGATAACTGGCCGAGCAGGAAAGAACTCCTTCCCAGCTCCGAGCTGAGGCAGGCTCTCTACAAGGCGACTGTGGCACCTGCAGATGGAAATCCCTGCGTGGATGAAAGCTGAGCCAAGGAACACCTTCTCGGAGCAGAGATCACCTTCTGTAGCCTTTCACACACAGAGGCTGTCCCGTTCTACAGGGCGACAGACAAAGCGACTGATTTTCCTAATCCTCTCTGCAGTCCCAACTCATCTCTTGCCTTTGATGTTTCTCTTGTTATTCTGTCTCCCAACTCTAACATAGTCTAACTCACATCAAGGTGAGGCCTACGTGGGCTGTAGAGACTTAAATGTAATTACTTAGTTAAATCCAAATTACTTGTCCAAATTCCAACAGCTATCTCTAAATCTGTACTTGATTTTTGTACACTTTAGCAGAGCAGAGGCAGTAGGCTTGGTCCACAGGTACAGCTCTGACCTACTCTGAATAAATCCTTTGGGAAGTCAGTCAGAACCTGCATCCCACGCTGCATGAGCGGCATGCCACAGCCTTTGGCCACGCGAGACACGCAGATCATGTCTTCACATCACACTCGATTTTTAACCCCAGGCTTGAAATTTAGATTCTTCAGATAGCTACAAATGGACAAAGGCACGGAAAGGAAATGGAAATGGCAGATGGAAATGGATCAAGGGTCTTGGGAATGCCCAGCCAAGTATTTCACAGTCTAAGAGAGATTATTGCTAAACTGTCCGTCATAAAGACAGGCTAGGAGGGGACAGCCTCGATACGCAGTTAGAAACCCACTCCAAAATAACCTTGGAGGAAGAACAGAAGGAATACGTGCTGGAAGTCTTGGTACAGAGCACAGGCCAGCCATTTTCAGACCTGAATGCATGTGGTAACTGCATTCCTAGTTCTGTTACACAACCTGGGTGCTGAGGGAGGGAGGAGAAGAACACAGAAGCAGACCTGAACCCTGCTGAAACGAGCTCCAGGTAGCGTTTAGCAGAACCACAGAAGTGTCAATTTAGGATTGACGCAGGAGAGCTAAGGCAGAAAGTAGGATTTACCTTGTAAAAGGTACCTGGCGCTCAAATGGATGTTGATGCTCGCATGGAGACCAGAAATGAGTTTGTAGAAAGCTCGTTTCTCAACACAGACACCTGAAAAGACATGGGCACTTTAAGATACCGAAAGCGTACATTGAATTTTTTTCTCCTGGCTGTCAGACAGACATCTAATCCCACTTGAGCATGGCCAGTAAGTCCCACCCACTCCCTGGCCATTTTGTGTTCATCCCAGGAAGAGCAACCAAGTTTAGAACACGGATTACCTTTCAGCCACTTGTAAAACGTTTGCCCTGGAAACAAAAGGAAAACAAGGCCGTCAGTTTGAGGGTATCGCCCAAGCCTGATGCCCTGAAACCACCTCTGAGGCCAGCCCCTAGAGAGCCTCTGCCCGCTCCAGTTTGCAGAATCAGGGAAAGGAGCACTAGAAGAGCATGAAAATAGTCTTCTTCCCCACCCTTCTGACTGATGCTTCTATAACACAGTGTGGCAGCAGCTAAATGTAGCTCGTGGTCTTTCCCACCAATCTCAGCAAGGGCTCGGGGAGGGGCAGAAGCGCCGCAGAATGGCACAGTGTAGAGGAAAACAAGGATCACGGATTGCTTTTCTCTTCTGGCCAGGGTGGGGAAAGGGGTATTTTTATAAAACAAACAAACAAAACCACACAGTGCAACTAAGTGCGTACAATCGCACAAGTCAGCGTTTCACACCACCCCTGCTACCTGCCTGAATGTAATTGGGAGAACATAAAATAACTTGGAGATAATTTGGAGGCAGAAAGACATGATGTATACATGGGCCCAGTGCTGCAGAGGGTGAAGAGCTCCAGGCGCCGTGAGCCCTGCAGGGCCAAAGGGAGCTGGGCACCCAGCTCCTACCAGCTGTCAGAGGCTGTTGGGACTATGAGTCTTCTCAAAGCTCCAGCCCGAGAGCTGCTTTCTCTGCAATAACAAGCACTGGGAAAAAAAAAAAACCAAACCATACAACGCAAGTCCCATTCCTGAAGGCTTAACGGCACTTCAGCGACTATCTTCAAATAATACTCTTAAAATTTTAAGACCTCCACGCAAGGATGGGCTAGCCTCAGAGGGATCTCTCCTCAGGGTTCTGAACACAGCAGAATTTCAAGACAACTTCTGATTTGCCTGAATAACGATTTTGCTAAGCAGATGCATTATCTCATGGTACAGCTTGTGACAGCATGGTAAAGACACCACATTTGTTTCTGTTATCAGTAAAAACAAACAGACTGCCACTCACCTCCATCATCTCCTGATGTAAAAAGCACGAGTGGTGGAGGGAGAGAAAAAAGAGGAGATAAAAATTACACATGACCAAAATTAAACTCCAAAGCACAAGCATTAAGATTGCTCCGTTAATCTCCTCTGACAAGAGAACGAGCCTCTCCAGGGAGGTTTAGAAATGCTCTGAACACAGAAGACATCATCTCAAACTGCAGCAGTGAACACACCAGATGAGCAATGCTACTGAATAACCTGACCAACGCAGGACGAATCAATATTTGCAAAGGAAGTAAAACTACCACACAGCCGAAGCAGAGACCAGAAAACCAGGGACACCAATGTCTACCCCTGCCAGAGATCTCCTGCGTGACGTCCGACAGGATATTCAAAGACCCCATCCCTGCTTCCTGCAGTTTAGCAGCCACTTGCAACAACTCTGGCAGGTATCAGGTCAGATCCTCTATTTTCATGTCCTCCTGCTTCCTCACCTGCAAAACAGCAGCGCTTCCCTCCCCCCTCAACGTACCTGGGTTATTTCAATCAGATCTTGCCCGTAACAACGGAGGTGGTCAATGGAAGCACTGATATTTTAAAGGACATTGTACATTTCCTTCACCAGTGCTGCCCCTGAAGTGCCACTCCTTCACACAAGGGTCAAGAGAGGTGGGGAAAGCACCTACACGGTTTAGGGTAAAATCAAGAGACCACCCCAGAGGGTACTGCTGGAACGGTGTTCAGGTCAAACGAACGGGGAGCGGGGCTGCTGATGTTTTAGATGTCTGGGCAGGATGGGGCATCAGGAGACATGGGGTCTCTTATCAGCCTTGGGCAAGAAGCTCTTACACTTCCAAAACCCTTCCCTACTTTCCTTTACACTGTCTAGCCTTAGCCTTTAGGGCAGAGGTCCTCTTACTGGATGGTTTCCACAGAGGATCCCAGCCAGGTTCTCATTTCAGACCGTCACAGATGGTTTGGCATTGCCGAGTATAGAAACCAGGGACCCAGGAAGAGTGCAGAGTTCAGTCCTGCTCCCAGTCCCTCCAAAGCTCACATTTCTTCCAGGAGTGGCAAATCAGATCTTTCTTTCTCCATCAAGGATGCTAGAAAGCCACACTTCCAGGTGCCCTTGCGTTAGCCATAAAATTCTACACTTGATAGAATCATAGAATCATTATGGTTGGAAGAGACCTCAAAGATCATCAAGCCCAACCGTTAACCTAGCACTGCCAAGTCCACCACTAAACCATGTCCCTAAGCACCACGAAAGATCAAGTTCAAGAGCTACAACATATTTCTCATTCAGTAGGAGAAGTAGCTCAGAGAGCATTTACTCTTCCTGGAGCTAGGATCAGTACACTACTAAACTACTTACTGAGATAAATAAATGACTCACCTCTACCAGATGCCAAAGGTCTTTTTACATTCTGAGGCCTAAGAGGAAAAAAAAAAATCATTTAAATAAGATACACAAATAAGTTACTGTCTCCTTGCTGTGCAGAAACACAGCACAGCAGAAGCAGTTACTTCTCTTCAGTCAAACAGCCTAAGAAGATCTAAGAACCCCTTCCATGCTTTAGCTTTGCTCAAACAGGAAAAGGACAGAGCAAAATGTGGCTTTCTCTGGTTTTTGGGTTTTGTTTCTTAATTCTTTCTTTAGAAAAAACAGCTAGGAAAACTCAAGTGTCTACAGAGGTGCTAGTGGACATCACCCCATGGCCTTGGTGCAACGTGATACACTGGTATGAATGGGGAGCAGAACCCTAGAGAGATCACAGCAGGCAAGACTACAGACCAGTGCTCACCAGTAGTGTGCATCAGCCCCAGGAGTACCCACAGCAGAGTTCAAACTGGCACGGAGGCTGGGACGAGAGCTCCTCACCTGTGCAACGGCCAGGGAGGACAGGATGGCGTGCTCAGGACCACGGCACACACGAGATGTGCACGCCCTGCTAGACTGCTGTCTCACCATGCTGCAGGGCTTGCATCGGGAGCCTGCGCCAGGGCAGGCCGTGGTACAAAGAACAGCCAAGGGAGGGGCTCACAGGGCAGCCACATGCTTGTCCCCTCCTCTGACAGCCCACGCTGTACAAGCATTGCAGCAAAGACCGGAGGATGGGGGATTAATTGAGCAGTTAAAGCATACGCAGCGCCTCTGCATAAACTGGCGCCTGCAGGCTTGTGGAACCTGTCTCCCAAAGCACCTACTTGAAGCAGTTTTCTTCGTAAATACTGTTCCAAATTTTCCAGGCATCTGGTCCTTTGTAGCCAGTATAGCGTTCAGGATTCAGGAGTAAATCCACGTACTCCGCGTCAGGAGAATAAATGTCTGCAAAGCAGAGTGCTGGGTCAGTGACAAAAACTTCTGAAGGAAAATAACATCTTCCAAGGCTGATCCAGCCACCCCTTCGCATACCGAATGGTCTCGCTAGCAGAGAGACCAGCTCATCCCTCTCCAGAGAGGCAGGTGCATAATATTTGCCACGCACCAACCCACTGCAGGAGGGCAAAGCTCTCTGGCCTTCAGAGCTATCAGAGCGCAAGGCCACTGATGGCAAAGCAAACTGTGGGCATGCTCCCTCCAGGCTGCTAACTCGCTAAACATGGCAAGACCCTGACCAGCAATGAAGCTTTGTCAGAAACATCTGCATCATATTATTTTCAAAATACTGAGCGCAGGGGGAGTGGAGAAAAGAAGAAATGCTATATATGCTCCAGGCTTGCTGAAATACTACACATTGGCCTGAACGTTCTGCAGAGGTGCTTAAAATCCCATTACAAGACTTGTCAGATCTAACAGGTCCCTATACCATCAGCTTCGCAGAAGCTGTCTGAAGAGTCATCATGCCGTGTCCACTGGAGCACTGCCTGCTGGGTTTCCTTGCTGCAAAGAAAATGGAAAAAGACTATTAGGAATTTTGAGCACTAATACTAGGTTTCCTTCAAGACAAGTAAGGATTGTGGAAAAAGCAGTCAAACCTCAAAGAGCCATCAACAGCTCCAAGTCTCTTGGCTTCTTCACATTCTTCAGCAAGGTTATTGGCTTCTTCCGAATACTGGGTTGAAAAGCAAAGGGGTGGGGAGAGGGCAGGATTAAAAAGCAGTTTTTCTGCTGTTACAATTCTGCCTTTAATGCACTAACCAGTTGAAGCATCAGAAACACTTTCATGATTCATCCCACCCTGTATTTCCACAGGATGTCTGCAGATATCCAGAGGCTTATGCAACTGTGATGACTGTTGCAGGACTCACAGCAGCCCCTGGCACTGCCATAGGAGCACTCTGCGCCTGGCGATACCTGCTCTTGGAGAAGTCTGCTAAACTGCTCTGCCTTAGCGGAGGCAAATACCTGACTTCAGGACAGCCACCCCAAAGGCTCTATAGCATGCCAAACCCTCGAAGAGGGTAAAAATTTAGCCACAAAGTGCATCCTAACAAATACTGCCCATCTGATTAAGGCTGCTCTTATCAGCTGCAGTGACATGAAACTGGTCCTATAAGCTGCGTCATTTTGTACACACAGACACACCTACCTTGTAACTTCCAGATCTGATTCCATCGGGGACTTCATCCTGAAAGACAAAATTGAGCGTGTCCTACGTGGGGGGCTGATGAAGCCTTTCAGCCTCATCTTTGAGAAAGATTAGGAAGGTTACCACAGTTTCTAGAAGTTAGAAGGTAATCAAAGCACTCAGCTCAGCTTACAACACATCCAATTTCTGGCTCTTCCACAGACTAAAGTTAAGCAATATTCTTGGGTGTTTTATTTTGATTTTTCGCAAGACTCCCCTTCTGAAAAGGTCAGCAGCCTTCCACGGGTGCTACGTCAGGTTATGTTTTGCTTACCCAAGCGTAAGGTTGGGGAAGCCAACATAAACTTCAGAGGAGCTGGAGTTGCCTCTGGTCAGCTGATGCCTGGCATCCTGTCTCCCAGTGATGCTGGCGCTCCTGGCAGGAGCCCAGGCGCCTCCTCAGATATTGCATCTACCAGCCCCTGCCACACATCATTCAAAAACTGCCCTTTTACCACTCCCTCACGTAACGTCAGGCTTGCCAGCCCCACACAACCTGAGCAGTAAGCACAAGACAATCAGGCCCTAAATTCTCCTCAACTTTCATTTCCTCCATCAGTAGGAAGGCAATAAAAACACTTCTACACTGCGGGAGCAAATACTATGATGGCAAGTAGCAGAGGAAGAGAAAAATTAAGCAATGAATAAGAGTTATTTGTTGTTGCTTTCAGAATGAAATGGACCCAAATCAAAATAATTAAAAACAGCAGTGACACAGTCAGTTCTTAAAATAAGAACTTCTAGCTAATACTAACATAGTTGTAACAGTACTCCGTCATGTTGGTGATAATCATTACCAAAACCATACTTTTTAAGGAAAAAAGTATTTAAACAAAATTTTGGGTTATTTGGGGGGGGGAAGTCATCGCTCCATTTTAGGTCCACGATAGGTGTTTTTTGAAGACTAGAGAAGCAAAAGATACTTGTTTAAGGGGTAGGGTAGTTGCTGAGAAGACAAATGAATTTAACATACCTATCAGAATTTATGTAACAAGTGATGTCCACACACACCCCCATTCCGGATTCTTTCAAGGTGTCATATCAGCTTAGATGTTCTTTTTTCAGCAAACAACTACGCTATATCAGGTTATCACAGAGTTACCAGGTGAAGGGAACAGAGACCCACTTCACTGCAGCATACTTTAAATCATACATGAAAATAAACCAGCGAGGTGGAAAAATGCACACAAGTAGGGTCAGGAGGCCTCTTCCACTGAAAGCACTTATTGCACCATTGGCACGGCATACCCCTGCGCACCGTTAACATACAACCTGCTCTGGAGACCCAGGAATGAGAGTGTAAGGCAGTCTGTTGCTGGCTGCCAACCCACAAAAGATAGGCTGGGTGGCATTTTCACCACCTCTCTCAACCCAGCAAAACAGTTCTGATTCACTCCCTTTCTCATCCCCTTCTTCTCAGGCAGACACCTGGAGTCAAGATGTTTTCTTTTAGCTCACTGAACAAACCCCTTTTGTCCAGGATATGGGGACAAGAGGTGGCATTTTCACCACCTCTCTCAACCCAGCAAAACAGTTCTGATTCACTCCCTTTCTCATCCCCTTTTCAGGCAGACACCTGCAGTCAAGATGTTTTCTTTTAGCTCAGCGAACAAACACCTTTTGTCCAGGATACAGGGACAAGAGTGTTTGCTTTTGTACTGAGAAACAGAGGACTCTGAAACAGCCATTTCGCATAAAGAGAGGGGGCTGAAAAGGGGCAAGCCAAATTCGTCAGCCAAAACTGCAAATCACAGTGCAGCTCACGGGCCAACAGGGTGAATATCCTAGCAATTAATGCAAGAGGCACTTCTCGTAACAACAGTGGATTTGCCCAAAAAACATCTCACTAAATCCAAAGAGGGACCAGGACAAGTTTTTGGTCATTCACAGAGGGTCAGCTATTGAAAGCATCGCCTTTCTTTAAACTTTCAGAACTTAGCATTTTGGCCTTTCTCATTGACACCAGTATTACTGCACCTAAGAAAGCTCCATCGGAGTCACAGATTTGCTATAGCTAAAATAATGAGCAGAGCAAGTAATTTCCCTGCTTCTTCCTCTTGGTCTGCAAAACTCAAATATAGAAAAGTGGTAAAAGAACAGGTTTGGTACTTACAGATGGGCAGGGCTTTACAGCACAGTCTCTTACTCCACAGTGACTGTTGTCATTCCAAAAAGGACAAGGTTTCTTTAGGTTTACCTACAAATAACATATTATCCTATTACACATTTCCTCTATGCAACCAAGCCAACCTTCCACACCAGTTTACTAAGACACATCTTCAGCACCTTAGTGCAAGACTTCAGATAACAAAACTTAGTGCAAGGTTGAGTGCAGTGAGAGTGGAAACAGATGATGTTATTCATCTTAAAGCTGATCACACTCATTCACTTGTCTCTCATACGAGATGCATGCACCCATGCAGCCTGATCAGGACTGTTTGAGGTAACACAGAAGACAGGATGCATAGGCCACCGATTCCTAATCACACCCTGAGGCTCTTGTTGAGCCACGACAAACTGGGTTTTGGACAGGTTGGTACCCTTTAGTAGCCAACAGTTACTATGGGGCAATCTTTGGCCTTGTAATATTGTTCACTTTGTTCTCCGTGAATCTCACGGGAAGTTTGCTGCTCATTGATTTTGTTTCCTTGTTTTGGGCATCTTAGGACTCCAGCCTGCCTCCTTGTTAGAGGAGCAGGGAGGGGATGTGCTGCAGCCTTGCTGCCATCCACCTGTGGCCAGAGTGCAGGTCTTCTGCTGTCATCTGTGCTCTGGACTTGTCGGGAACAAATAATTCCTTGGTGTTTCCCACACTGATTGCTATCGCCCATGTCCTTGTTACCAGTACAGCTTATTCTTTTAATCCTCGCTTTGCCGTTTCTTCTGGTGCTTTCACACACAGATGTTACCACTCATGTTTCATTCAGACCAATCTTAGTATTTGTGTTACAAATCCCAACACTGGAAGGGGAAAGGACATTAACTTCTTTAACAAATCCTAGTCTTTCTTTTCTGTGAGTTGGTATCAAGTATCAGTCTTCCCAAACACTTAACATTTAAAAAGATTTTGTGGGTTTGGTAAAGAGGGAGAGCAGGGAAAAGCAGCTCTACTCCAGTGATTTTATGTATGGGCCTGTTCTAGTTTTCAGAGCAGTGAAGTTGGGAACTTTTTAAACTGTTCTTACAGAAGAGCAAATACTTGTGTTGTCTGCGGCATCAATTAGGCAACAGTCCCTGTTTGGTAGCTGTGTGCAGCAGGTAAAATGCTGCCCCATAACCCAAGCACACTCAGACAAACCCCACATTTAGTCATACACCTGCAGCCTCCCTGAACGGGAGCAGAATCCATCTGATGATGATGGGCTGGCAGTAACGGCCATCAATTCACCTGAATGTTTGGTAACTAAACTGGGCTTGCCATATCAATGAGGAGACACTATGAATACCCTCCTTATGCAACGTGAATCTCCAGTGATCAACATTTTTGAGCCACAGCTCAACAAAAAAAGTTATTTCATTGTCTACTGCTTAAGTTCTTAAGTGGGAAAATGTGTAAGAAAATATCTTTAAAATTGTGCATCTTATAAGCATGTTGTACTACATTAAGATTCTCCTGATAACAGAAGGGTCCCACTTACTGACTGCATTCTTAAAAGATCAGGATTAAAATGGAGGTATCTGATTTGGAAGAGATCAGCAATAACTTCAAGGGAGATTTAAAAAAAAAAAAAAAAGCAGCACCATACAAAATAAACACAATTCTCGTATGAGAAAATTACCTTGTAGTATCTAAAATAGTCACTCTCCAGAAGTTCATTCAGTCTAGGAAAAAGCTTGTAGTTGTTGAAGGCATCAATGGTTTCTACATCACAGGTGCAGTCATCTAAATGACCAGTAACCTATGGGACAAAAAACCCCAAACAACTGAATATGAACAACTTAGCCGGTACTTTTTAACACTGCAGACAATAAAACAATTCACAATTGTCTTTCCTTTTACCAGCGGGTCAACTAGTTAAGTTTAATCAGAATTAAACAACATTAAACAAGACTGTGCTGAATTGGCAGAGAACATTTTTCATGCATCCTTTAGGATGTGTCCTGTACTTGTTGCTTGGGCATGGGCAGTTTTATTTGGGAACAATTTTCCTCTAACACACATCGATATATTAGAATTCACTGATGTCAAAGTAACAGATATCAAACAGACACTTCCATCTCTAAAAAGCAGAGATGACGGACACATTCAACTAGACTATGTCACACACATACACAAAAACCACACAGCCCTTGTCCACACATCAGACAGTTACACAGATCACGGATGTTTCCGTCAGGGCCACATCCATCAAGACACTGGATATCGGCTGCTGTAGCAGCTGAGAGCCATACACGCTGCCAGCTTCGGTTCCCGTTTGAGACTATCCTCAGTTTGTCACTCCTGTAGGATGGCATACAGGTAAGAGCTGGCATTTCCATAAGGGACCAGTTAGGCAACAACAATGCCACCGAAGGTTACTGCACTCAAAGAAAGTCCTTGTTGTTAATCAACTGTGCTGCAGCCATTTGTTTAACCAGAACCACAGCAACAGTCTCTCTTGCCTTAGAGAGCCATTTGGCAAGAAAACATTTGTTCTAAATCTGATGTAGAATGCTAATACTTCTTGCATCATCCTGAACAACTCAACAAGCTGTTTGCAAGCCCTGAAGGAGAAAGAAAGAAAAAAAAAAAAAACAACAAAAAAAAGTGGCACAAATTCAGCTATGGCTTTCTGACACGTAGATTACTGTCTGGATGACAAAAGTTGCACAACATAGAGGCAGTTTTGCTTCCTCCACACCCCTGACGAGTACTTGGGGAAATCATAGAATCCTTTAGGTTGGAACAGACCTTTAAAGATCATTGAGTCCAACCATTAACC